TCAAGCATTGGTAGAGAAGGTCTTATGATGGCTTCTCCATGTCCTTTTTCTCTTTTCTATCAAAGCTTTCTGACTTCCCTGTAAGTCTTTCTTTTATCAGAACCAAAACACATACTCTCTCCTTTCCCTAAAGGAGTCACCAAGTGGGGTCCTCTCTGCCCCTTGGACTGGAGTTTCATAAGTGACTCTGGGCGTACCTGGGACACAGACACTCAAGGGAGGAGGTCAAATGCCCTGAGGACAGTGGGACTGGAGGCTGTGGAAAGGAGGAGGGAAAAGTGACCCAGTTTGCTGTTGACTTAGGCCCCAAGCACCCAGCCTTGTATCCAACATCCCATGGGCCGAACAGACAGTACTGTTTTGTGTGCCCAAGCTTACCTCCACTCTCAAAAATACCTATTCTGTGATAGCATTCACATCCTCTTTCCTTTGAGGAATTTCCTTACCCCATCTAAATGACTCCAAGGCAACAGCCAATCATGAAACCCTTCTGCCCTCACAGTGGCGGGCATGCAACCCAGAGCTGGCCAATCAGATCCTTCTCCTTGGCCTTGTATCTATGGATACCAGAAAAGAGACGCCTTCTTTCCCTTCAGGTTGCTAACCAGAAGTTAAACTATTTACAACTGCCACCTCTGGTATAGAGGTTGCCCATTTGCTGTGAGAGATAAGAAAGTGTGTGTGTGTGTGTGTGTGTGTGTCTTGTCTGTCTGACTGACTGTCTGTCTGTCTGACTGTCTGCCTGGACCTGACACATTTATTTATCTTCTGGATTGTTATAATGTTTACATATGGTTAGAAAGAAAGCTTATTTACGTTGAATTCTCAACACTTAGAATCCTCATGGACTCCTTCCATCCTCCCGACAATGCTGTGGGGCAGTTGAGGCACAGACTGACCCAGACAGCGTAGAGGAGCAAGGGTTCCCAGTAGACCCTGACCCTCCAGTTCTGCAGCAGGTCCCTCTTCCAAGCTGCCTCTCATGGACGGGCAGCTCTGGCCTACCCCAGAGAAGCACAGTTTGCAAGGGAACCTAGAGCGCCGTAGTGACAGCACCACAATGCTGCCACACATACAAGTTCAGCAAGCTCCACTGGCGCGAGCTATTTCATCCCAAACTGTACCTTCTTCACCCCAGCCCAGTTTGGGAGATTCCTGTTTCCTTGGATGCCAAAGGAAACCCCAAACTGACCAGTCCTCCAAAGGCACTTCAGGCTGTTAGGGACACTGGCCATTGTATAGCAACCTTCGGCAAAAACAGTGCATCCTCCAGCCCCCGTGCAGAGCCCAGTGTCGTCTGCTCCTGCTTGCAGTTTCCCTGGAAACTTTGCTCCCCAAGCAACTGCCTCACCCCTGTCCAGTCCCAGTCACTGCTCTACCTGTTCATTGGATCCCATTGCTTCCTGCTACGGCTGCAGCGAGCCCGCAGCTGAGTGGGACTTGGAAGAAAGTAAATAGATATTTTTATCGCCCAAACATCTGCTGAGAGAAATTAATTCACACATGTCACTTGCAAGCCATTTGCAAAGGTGTGCAACACACTCACTCTGCTGTTTAATCTTGGTTTTCAACCATTTCTTTTTCTTATTTTTCCACTGCTTTCAAGTTGGGCAAAATAACCGAGTGGGCCTACCCCTCCCTTTCTTATGAAAAGTGGACAAATTACTGAGAATTACTGTCAAGGGACCTGTATAAATTGTATTTGGCAAGATCAGGTGTGCATGTGCCATAGCCATCAAATCATACATGACTATGATCCCACTGCAGTGCATAATTGTCTATAAGTACAATTACAAGAAAGTTACAAAGCCGTGCATGATGGTGCACACCTCCCCGCACTGGGGAGAGGCAGGCCAACCAGCCTGGTCTACAGAGCTGGTTCCACGACAGCCATGGCTACACAGAGAAACCCTGTCAGGAAAAACGAAAAAAGGAAATAAATAAAAACAAGGAAGGTACATGTTCAACACACACCACTAGTCACAGATTTCAACTACCTTGCTACAGTGGAGCTAAATTAGCAGTGACTCATGGCTGATAGCAAGAACAGCAGCAGCCTTGGCCCACTCAGGACATGTGATGAGGAAGTACTCGCCCTCTAATGCAGAAACCAGTTGGGCTGCTACGGTGATGTGTGTCAGACTTCCTGGAAGAATGCTAAACCAGAATCTTCAAAATTTGGTCCACCTTGATTTTTGCTTACAGATGTCACTTAGCAAGTTGTCATTAAATAGGTCTTAGAGGTACATAAAGTGAAGATTTTGCAGTCTGGTTTCAGACTGTCTTCCAAAGACTCAAATGTTCGCTCCCCAGTGAAGCCATGTTCAGTTGGGGAGGTTTAGGGGAAGTGATTGGTTCTTGAGAACTCTGACTTCATTCATGGAATCATCTACTGATGGGTTCGTAGTGTGGTGGGCTCTTAGGAGGTGGGACCTTGTTTAAGGGAGTCGGGTTTTGGGGGTCCTATCCTGTCATCTGCACTTACCACAGATGCAGCACCAATGGAGCCATGCAAGCACAGACCGCGACTTGTGGAAATGTGAGCAGAATCCATCCTTGCTCCCATAAGCGGCTCTGCCCTTCCGTCTTTTGTCACAGTGCTGAAGAATGGAGTACCATATAGGGCATACATACATATACATATACATATACATATACATATACATATACATATACATATACAGTTTGCCATTAGTTTAGCTCAAAAGAGTACAGGGGAGATTTGCTTTTTCTGAGTCAGTTTCTAGGTTACATGAACCTGAGGTAGAAGGTGCTGGAACAGAGCTAAATCATTCTTAGGAATTTTAGATGACACAAGACCTGAGAACCAGAGATGTTTGTCACTGGCTTTCCACTCTAAGAGTGGAACACTCAGGCACTGACTAAGCATTCCAGCCAGATGGGTTATTGCATAGGTTAGTTTGTCTTGGAATGTTCTCGTACTTGCTAATTTAAAACAAACAACAACAACCAGAAAAAAAAAGCGTCTCAGAGCAATGAACATTGAGATTGGCAACTCACAAAAGACTGAAAATATTTTAGTTGTACTTTAAAAATTAACTGAAGAAAGATTAGGAAGTAGTTTGGCAGACACCTACAACCCTGGCCTCCAAAGGGCATTGTACCTGGGCATTTCTACCTTAGAAAACAACACTTCCCATCGTATAACACTTCAGCTCACACATCTGCATGTGTTTCCGTCTCCAGAGAGCAGGTGTCATTTCCGAGGTGACCTGAGGTAATTCGCTTCTCTCTGGCCTCATTTTCCTTCTTCCTCCAACCCTCTCCTCTGCCGCCTTGGGTTTGGATTCCTCCTAACGTTTTCCTTTCTCTCTTGCTCATTTTGCTGTTTCTCGGTTTCTGCTTTAACAGTCCTCTTAACTTTTGCTCAGCCTCAGATAGATCTTTTCAGGGTTAACCAGAGTCCAAGATGTGGCACATCCTGTTGTACTCCAACCTAGACTTGTGGAGTCTGTTCTGAAATATCAAAATATTTATCTTTCCAAGTGAGTTAGGCAGACCTTCCATGGAAAGCCCTTTGTTTCTTGACAGATTCTCAAATAGTGAGTGGGTTTGTGCATTAAAAGCCATTGGTGTGTGGGGTAGGTCATCTACCTGTCTAGCCTGGATGAGTCAGCTAGCCCAAGCTGTAAAATCTAAAGTTCAAGGTGACTGGAGGTTTCTTAGGGCTTCATTGTGCCCCACCTCTCCAGATTCACAGTGGAAGTCCAGATTCACAGTGGAAGTCCTGACTTCCTCAGAATAGGCCCTCACTTGGAGACATGACCTTAGATGAGGCAAACAAGTTACTCAACATTAAAATGAAGTTTAAAATGAAGTCGTCCAAGCCCTAATCTAAATGATGGGTATCTTTCTATACAGGGGAGATTAAGGACAGCTACATAGAGAGGGAAGATCGACCACACGAAGATAGCAGCCAAGGAAGGAGGCCTGGAGCAGATCTTTACCTCACAGCTCTCAGAAGGATTCTATCTGCATTCTGATCTCGGACTCCTGACCTTCAACCCTGAAGGAAAATGTTATTCGGTTAGAAGTGACACAGCTTATAGTACAGCATAGCAGCCCTAGCAAGCTAGCGGAGGAGCATCAGGGCTCAGCAGACCCAGAGTCCTACCTTGTCACAGAGTTGTCTTCAGAATGAAATGGTCTAAGAGAAACAACAAACTTCAGAAATAAGGCTGTGATGAAGATGAAAGAGACTGGTGCTTGTTTCCGAAGAACTCGGTGTCTAAGACCCACCTGAAGAGGAAGGTGCCAAGATGCTAAAGAAAGGCAGACAAGCCCGAGGCTGCACAGAATGCATGCAGCAGAGACTTAGGGATGGGAGTGTATCTTGAGCAGCAGCAAAACAGCAGGGTCCCCATAGCTCAAAGAAGGAAGAAGGGATTTGCATGCTAAGCTGGACAGAGGTGGATTGTGACCAATTGGAATGTGCCCCGCCTTTCCTGGGTCTGTATGTAGCATGAAATACTTGGCTCTGTCAATGACTGTGTTTATCCCACAGAGTTTGGAATATGTGCCAGGGTCACCTGATGCCCCAAATGGCAGTCATGGCTGGCAAGGTGAGTTAGTGGGTGAAGACACTTGCCACCACACCTGACAAGTGAGCTCTATCTCCAGGACTCACATGGTAGAAAGAAAGAAGCAACTCCCTAAAGTTGACCTCTCAACTCCACATCCGCATGTGCATGCACACACACTCATCACCACATAAATAAATTAGAAATGTAATTTTGAAATGGCAATCATAACCAAGATGTGTATGGTTGGCTCAAGCTAGGTGCATACTGTGCTAACACAGAGTGCTCTTTGATGCCTTACTCAAAGTTCCTGCATTTAAAATGGCTTCTCTTCAGAAGGGGTGCCCGAATCCCTTTCCACGGCTTGTTCCTTCTCTCCACAGCATTGATCGTCCTCTAATGGTCTCTGCTGTTGGTTATTTGTCTCTTTCCACTAGGAGGGAAGAGGGTTTGGCTCACCGCTGTCTCCTCAGCACTTGCCGGCCCAGGAGGGTCCTCACTGGCTGGTCCATGCTGAGTCCACATTTCATCTTCTCACTTCTTCAGGCCACACTCACTGAACCTCTGGAACCTAGACCTGCATATAAACATACAGAGAGATAGGATTGTGGCACGATGTGTAACATGCACTCTGAGAGCTAGTAGTTAAGAGTGGGATGAAAGAACCTGTGTTTGCCAATGGCCAGCTGTCATTTGGTAAATTGCAGCCAATGAGACAAAGAAGATGAAGTTTTTTCTTATTCTGAGAACAAATAGAAAGATACAAATGTGTCACAATTTCTCCTCCCAAGAATGTGCTTCCTTCACATCCAATATAAATGTGGGGCATCTTCTCATCTTTACCATGCAAAACACCCACAGGATACACAAGGAACACAAAATGTGTGCAGTCTAGGGAACTAACTTGCACACTGTTTCCTGGAGAGATAGACATCTTCTCCCAAAGGAACCCTCCCAGGCCTCTCTGCCCTAGTTTAGACCTCCTCTTCCGTTCTTTTACAAGAACATTTCCATCACTCTGCTGAGCACACTGCATTTCCATAGTGCTTGTTTTCTCTCTGGCTTTCTCTCTTGTTCTCTCTCTCATCTCCCCTTCCTCCCTCCCTCCCTCCCTTCCTTCTTTCCTCCCTCTCTTCTTTCTTTTTCTTTGTGGTATTGGAGACTGAACCCAGGGCCTCATGTATGCTAGACAAGTGACCTACACCTCCAGCCCCTGTTTTACTTCACTATAACAAAATACCTGAGGCTGGGTAATTCTATAAAGAAAAAGATGCCTGTTTATCTCAGAGTACTGGAGGCTCAAGAGCATGGTGCCCACATCAGCTCAGCTCTGTAAGGTCCTCAGCAGGAATGCATCACAACAGTGAGTGGGTGGTGGAAGAAACAGATCATAGGATAAGGCATGAAGCCAGAGAATGTTCCAGGGTCAAGTTTGGACTTTCATAAGAACTCTCTCTGGCAAGAAAGCTACTAACTAAATGGACTCCACGAGAAACAGCAATCCCTTCAGGAAGCATAACTCCAATGACTTCAGGACTAGGCTCCACCTCTTGAAGGTCTCACAACTTCTTACACTGTTACATGGGTGCCAAGCTTTAAACACACACACCTTTGATGGACAAACCACAGCAACCAGTAACTAGGGAGCAAGTGAAGGGCATGGATCAAACGTGGCTCACTGTGTGGTACCGACCTTATTATACAGGTCCAGCCCAAGAGCTGAAATAGCCAACCATGAGTATGTTAAAGGAAGCCTTACTGTAGGTCCTTGGAACAGGACAGTGGACCAACTTGATGTGATATCAATAAATCAGAGCAGAGATATGCAAAACCTCTTTCCAGATGAAAATGAAGGTCTCCTGGACATGCAAAGTGGGATTTTCACCTGATGCATATATGAACACCTGGGACTGTGATGTGGCATGGCAACTGTTAATTCAAAACTTTGGTAGGAAATGGGGGACTGAGAGCCTCAGAATGCAAAGTGGCTGGGCTTGGGACACAGGTATCAGACCTTCCTGGGAACAGGCTGATGGCAATGAAACCCCAAAGGTGGGGGAAAGGCCCACTAGGTAATGGAAGTGCTATGAGGCAGGTAATATGGATGTGGGGTTCAAATACAATAGATGGATTCAGCCTGAGCCTTTCTCTGCCCCCTGAAGCATGATGGTGTTTATGTTTTAAAGAGAAAAAAGTACAGGAGAGACAAAGCTGTGGATGTCTCTCTTCTGAGGGAAGAAGTAAGGCTCTCTAGTTGATGCTTCCCATGTGGAAAGAATGAGGAGCAACAAGCCTGTGGTTTCACAATCCTGGGTGGGTGAGGGGCAACAGATGTCATCCTGCCTGTTCATTCACTCATTCATTGAGACGTTTCTGAGCCAAACACTAGATCCTGAAGATACAAAAGTAAATGTTCACAGTCAATCCAACTAAAACCGACACATCCTGGATCTGTGTGATCCATAATGCAATCGGAAAAGGTGCTGTCTGGCAGTCTCCCTGGGCAGGAAGTGATTAGGGAAGACACCTCGCACAGCCATGGCAAAGCTGGCCAAGCCAAACTGAAGACAAGGAAGAGGGTAGAACTCCAGTCCATTGGGACAGTCTGGAACTACAATAACAGGGTTCTTGCTGGGAATGTTGACAGAGACCATTAGAGCAGAAAAATGGCCCCAATTAGGCTACAGGCACAGCCATAGTAATCAGTTGGCTGAAGTTGTCATTGAGCCACACAAGGGAAGTCTTCACTAGACACCTTCTGAAATGCCTGCAGAGCATGAGATTTGCTGCCTGGGTGCTTAGACCACACCTCTCCGAATTATGGATCACTGTCCTCCAGAAGCAGAAAGATGAGCCCAGCCTGAGCCACACCACCTGGTTTTAAAAATACAAAGTATACTAGCCAGGCACAGTGGCACACGCCTTTAATCCCAGCACTCGGGAGGCAGAGGCAGGCAGACCTCTGTGAGTCTGAGGCCAGCCTGGGCTACAGAGTAAGTTCTAGGATAGCCAGAGCTACAGAAAAACTTTGCCTCTGAAAAACAAACAAACAAAAGTGTATCTCTCCAGGAAACAGTGTGCAAGTTAGTTCCCTAGACTGCACACATTTTGTGTTCCTTGTGTATCCTGTGGGTGTTTTGCATGGTAAAGATGAGAAGATGCCCCACATTTATATTGGATGTGAAGGAAGCACATTCTTGGGAGGAGAAATTGTGACACATTTGTATCTTTCTATTTGTTCTCAGAATAAGAAAAAACTTCATCTTCTTTGTCTCATTGGCTGCAATTTACCAAATGACAGCTGGCCATTGGCAAACACAGGTTCTTTCATCCCACTCTTAACTACTAGCTCTCAGAGTGCATGTTACACATCGTGCCACAATCCTATCTCTCTGTATGTTTATATGCAGGTCATAGAATGGCTACCAGAGGCTTAAAGAAGCTACCGGAGAGGTCAGGTTCAAGAGGCCTTCCTGGCAGAGCAGAAAGCTGGTACAGGTGCTGAATCACTGCAGTGTGGAGGTGAGAGAGTGAGAAGCCAGCTGCTGGAGGGTCTCAGAGCTGAGCTGAGCTGCAAAGGCTTAGCACCTGTGGTGGCAAGGGATAGGACCAAGTTTGGACAAACAGATGGTAATTTGGGTGGACTGCATCAAGCAATGGGGACTAAACAGACTTGAAGCCTAGGGGACAACCAGGAATTCTTTGTTCATCCCTTTACACACACACACACACACACACATACACACACACACACACACACACACACACACACACACACATGCACGCACGCACACACATACACACACACGCACCAGGTGATCAGACGACAGTTCAAAAGAACTGTCATCATCACAGCATTAGATGTCTTTCTTCTCTTGGGGCCCAGAGGAGGGTATTGTGCCCTTCACTGCTCTGATGTGTTTGATAGGTTCTTGGACCTGTATTCTCATCTGGTTTTAATATACCCATGTGTTCATGTGACCCAAGTCTATTTTGATAAATTTATAGTTGGCTCTGTTCTACTTTTATGCATCAGTTATTTATTAGTCAGTGCTCATGAGTGGTACAGGACAGGTAGTGGTGTCTCCGTGCACATCTACACTCAAAATGGAATCAAATGCTGCTCATAAGATGGAGTCTGCCAGGAGAAAGTGCAGCCTGAAAGCATTGTTTCACCAACAAGAAACAAGCCAGAGTGAGTCACAGCCTGATCTGTACAAAGGCGTCCAGCTTTGTCCACGCCATTGTATGTTTTCCACTCATTAGAAGTTTGTCGTGGGGCCCTCTGGCCAGCACTGTGTAGCAAGTCTTTCTCTATCCTGCCAGCCAGCTCCCAAATCACAACACAGAAACTCATTATTAATTATGAAAGCTTGGCCCATAGCTTAGGCTTGTTTCTAACTAGCTCTTATAACTTAAATTAACCCATTTTATTAATTTATTTCTGCCTTGTGGCTTTATTACCCCATCTCTACAGTGCCCATCCTGTTGGTCTTTGATTCTTGGCCTCTCCACCCTTCTTCCGAGCATCCTTTGTGCCTGGAAATCCTGTCTAGCTATTCACCATTCAACTTTTTATTAAAGCAATCAGAATGATACATCTTCACAGTGTACAAAAAGATTATTCCACAACAGCACTGTGCTGGGTTCCAGGGTGACGGAGCAAGATAAAAAGCAAGGGCAGGTAACAGAGAACACTACAGCTGGCCCTGTTTAGGCTTTCTGTCTGGTAGGAGTGTTGAAGGTTAGGATCCCCTGATCTGAGAAGATGGCTGGAGGCAAGAAGTCCCCCCTCCCCACACCCGACAGTGTTCTTAAGACCAGCACTTGTGTGGAACTGAGGGAAGATGGGCTAGGCAGAGGGGGAGGTTGAACTGTGATGCATGAAGTTCTTAGCAGTGCCGATGGGCCACTGTGAAGCTGAGATGCCCTGAGTAATACGTTTTTGTACTTGTTACCTTTTAAAATATTTTTATTTATTTTTTGAGAATTTCTTACATAGATACAGAATATTTTTTATCATATCTCCCCCATTCCCTCCATTTCCTTCCTTCAATTCCCTCTGAACATGCCCCCATACAGCCTCTTTCAACTTCATCTCCTTTTAAATTTATTCATATTTTTATATATCTCACTGAGTCTAATCAGTGCTTTTCATGTATTCATGGATGTGGTGGAGTCATCCATTGGAACATGGGCAAGCTTCCTGTGGCCATACCCACACACACACAAAAAGATTCTCCCTTCCCCAATAAATGCTCATAGCCTCAGCTAGGGTAGGACTACATGATCCCCTCACCCACCCACTGTAGACTGTTCACTGGCTTGTAGTCTTGTCCTGGGAAGCCAAGTGCTGTGAGTCCATGAGTACAAGAGCCATGCATGTCCAGAAGACAGCACTGAGGCATCTCCCCCCTCCTCCTGAGCTCACATTTTGTACTTCTCTTCTGCAGTGTTCCCTGAGTCTTGAGGGGTGGGAGTTGATATACAGATATTCCATTTAGGATTGAGTCCTCAACAGACACTTATTCTCAGAACTCTGATTGTTTATGAGTCTCTGGATTAACTTCAAGAAGA